AAATATCTGATAACAACTGATAAAAAACAAAAAAATAAAAAATAAAAAATAATTGTTTTAGTAATATTTATATATAAAAACTGAAAAATAGTTCATTTGACAAATTTGACTACTCCGACGCTCAGTATAAGGTAATAATTCGACTTTTTTATACTTTAATTTAAGAGAAATTATCTTTAACCAATAAATTCAATGCACAAAGGAATATAGTGTCGAACGAAAATACCGGCACTAAAGAAATCTAGTTACACAAGTAGATCTTTGTCAAGATTCTACACATACATTAATTTTTTCCGAAACGAATATAATCTTCTTATAACTGAAAGTTAACCATTTTTTCGTGATTATTCTGTGAATTTTAATCCAGAAGCTTTCTCTAATTTGCATATATCCCATACTGGCGGATATACATGCAGTGAGTACTCGAAATTGGGTCCTCGCCGAGGGCTCGATCCATCCAAAAATGAAATTTTTGACTCTCGATATAACTTGTCGAGGACTTATCAGAGGAGCATATCAGGAGCATATCTGGAGGCATACCAGTTCGTAGAGCAAACATTTCTCTACTAAACTAGAAAATAAATTTGTTCCTACTTTTTTTCACTTGAAAAAGAATAAAAAAGAAATGAATATTTTTCTGTGATATACTAGTTCATTTTGACTAAAAGGCAGTCAACTCACGAAACAAGATGACGAGAAAAACATTGCACTTTCTGAAATTATTTCTAATTAAATATTTTTTTTTGCTTTTTTGTTTACTTCCACGAATTATGACAGTAAATTCACCAGTCGACGTTCTTGAAATTATTCTTTAAGTTTTCTTATGTCTTATAAATTCTTGAGGAATCTTGTATTTTTTGTTTCTTGACTATTTTTGTGTTGAGGATTCTGTTAAGATTCTTTGAAATTTTTCGTATGTCTTTATATATAGTGAAGCTATACACGTGCCAGACAGAACATAGAATTTAGTTCATGAAGACAGACAATTGACCATAGTGATGCACTCTAGTCATCACTATGGTCAGTAGACAGTTAAGGATTTGATAATAGACAAAAATAACCTTATTGAAAGATTAACTCAATGTATGAAAGAGAACCTTAGTATTTAGAACATTTAGTCTTTCACCATTTCTCATTTTTATCTTTAGGTACTCTCGTTTTTATTTTCCATCACATTATCTAATTCAGTCTCTTTTAGTCGATGATCTCCACATTTAACCCTATCTGGGTTTACTAGCTAATGTAGAAGGTTGCGATCACTAAATTTTCAGTGAAACTCGATGATCCGAATTTTATCTGACGGTAATGTTTTGATAAGACTTCCATTTCTCTCATGTTATTTCTTTGAAAAATCTTTTCCTGCTTCATTGTGCTCCTAAACCCATGATGAGTATCTCGCTAGACCATTATGGCTAGGAATAAATGCTGGACTCTTCATTGTCCAAAACATCGAAAAAGAATCGTTCAAGAATTTATAAGAGATAAGAATCGTTAAAGAATAATTTCAAGAACGTCGACTAGTGTAGTGAAGAGCAACTGCTAAAGAAAATACGTTTCATAAGACTAGCAAAATATACACCCTTTGATTCATCGAGAGTCAAGACATTTTTTGATGCGCGTGGATAGCCTCTGCAACATATGTGTAACCACAGGCAGCAAAAATACTAACAGTAACCTCGGTTACCCTAATTATTACCCGTCCAAAGAGAGAATACTGGTGATTGTTTTTTATATAACTTTTGACTGTCAATAGTTAGAGATGTACGACTTTCACCATTTGAGGACGAGATCCTACAACATCTTTTTATCTTGTACATACAAATAATATTTAAAAATTGTAAACTGTTAGTTTTACCAGCATGTTCACGTTAAAATCAAAGTTCAAATGAATAAATTTTATTTGCTGTGTGACTCCGTTCATTTTATTCACTGTTTTATTTTTTATGAGGTTTTTTTAATCAAAACGTATAATAGCAGTGCAATTTACACAGGTAAGGTCCTGTTAATTCAGATTGACTGTTCTAACAGTGAAGCCCGGTGTGTCTGCTTTGGAGATATTGGCATCTTCTGCTGGTATAGTTTTTAGTTGGAAAACTGATTTTCCAGAAAACGGGTCTCTGGAGGTCTATCGGCTCGGCTCATGCTGATATTCGGAATCAGCATGGTTGAGTACCTATTGTCAAATCTCAGCGAAATTCCATGCTGCATGACGAAGAAAACGCACAAATAAAATTTAATGGTTTTGGGCAGGAGACTCTCCACCGAAAGGCTCATTTTTTCCGAAAGAAAGAAAGTGACAGTCGGGAAATTTTTTATTTTGTGATCCCTGATGATACTAGTATATAGTCCGACTAAAGAAAAAAATTTCCAAGCAAGTTTATTTTGTTGATTTTTTTTAGTCAAACCGTACATTTTAGTCAATACCATTTTAGTCAATACCAGCGCAATCAGCCCATATATTTAAAAACGCTTAGAAACCTTCCAGGGTTCGAAGTTTAACCTTCCATGGAACGAGATCTACGCAGACAGATAGCCCTTTTCAGAACGAATGGAAGGATATATAATAAGTCTAGTTTCAGTGAATTTTTCATAGAGATTTTCGCATTTTTAACTCGCGGGACATTTTCGAATTTAAATACACTTTTCTCAGAGCGACTAAAGCACTAAAGTCGAAACTTTAGGAAACTGTTCAATATCATAATGTGAAAAAATGGTAAAAAAGTGAGAGTCAAATGTTCAGTAATTTGGGAGATGTTAATAAAATATTTTTAAAAACTCGCGGGACATTTAGTGTGAAAATAGCCATTTTTAAAAATGTTTTACTCCTCTCTAACGAAAGACATAATGAAATTAATTATCAATATGTTACTCTAACTGCCAGCTATCTTTTCCATATTTTCGATAAGGTCTAAGTCAAGTCTGGGCTGGGCTACATCACGCTGATTCTCGCTCACATACATTGATATTACACATTTCACGTATGGATTTCAAAGGTAAATACATAGATCTACTATATAAACAGACATTCGTATGATTGATTCACGATATCCGTATGACTGTTGTACACTATAGATGTTCGATATAAATGACCTCTTAACCGAAAAAAGGCTGCGTTAATAGGCTATTTTGAATATTTCAGTTAAAATCATTTCATCTTGTGTTAATCGTTAACTTATGAAGTAGAACTCTATAATAGAAGATGCTTTTAAGAAACAGTCCGTACTAATATCGATCATGGCTAAAAGGAGATATAACCTGTTCAGAACTGTAGTTTTACATAATGAAAATATTTTAATTTCGATTTAAAAGTAGGGGAATATGTTCGAATTTGGTTTACAATAAGTACCACTAAATCAGTAATTTAACTATTTTGTTGTGATAATTATTTGTGGCACAATAAAATGATACATAAAACAGTTGAGTTATTTTTTCTCTATATACGTTAGCACTTTATGATCAAATGTCTTCCCGGCTTAGTTGGAAGAAAAGCTATAGAGCGACAGCTTCCAGAACTGTATATATGATAAGGACCAGTTCTAATTTACAAGAATTGAGCTTTTCTGTGAAGAAGCAGTTGTAAAACAAACGTATTGGATAATTATAATAATCCATCGATAACTCATGTCAAACATTTTACATCGAAAATATGTTCTCTAATTGGTTTTCAGCTGTGATTTCTTATGGTGTGTAACTGGAACTCCTGTTAATTAACTTTAAATTCATAGTTAACTTTGATTGCTCTATCAGACTGCAAAAAAGTAGTTCAGTTTTGGGGTTATACCTTCTTTTATCCATGATCTATATTAGTACAGACTGTCTCTTAAATCGCCTTCTGTTATGGAGGTCTGCATCATGCAAGTTAATGTTACGTAGCCTACTCATAATTTTGACTACCAGTGTATAACTTTGAAACCTTTTCTTGAGACCTTTGTAGAGCGGGGTCTATAGACTAATGTTAAAAAGAAAAATATTTAACGACTAATATTAAAAATCAATTAAATATTTTTCCATCTTATTTAAATATTATTAGTTCGTTCAATATTTTTCTTTTATTTTAAAATAACTAAATATTTTTCTATTCTATGCGAAAAATTTTAATATTTTTCTATCTCGTTTATCTCATTCTAAATGAAGGAACTGATGTCGCAATTTGAACCTACCAAGAAGGTACGAATATGCGGAATCTGACTTTTGCACCTTATTTAACTATTTTTCTATCTGAATAAAACACTTTAATATTTTTCTAACCTAGGCGAAAAACTTTAATATTTTTCTATCTTACAGCAAGAAAAATATTTATTAGCTCAGATAGAAAAATATTTAATTGATTTTAAATATTAGTTGTTTAATATTTTTCTGCTTAACTTTTTTCGGTATACCCGTAGAGAGGTGGCGTCATTTTTTCGAACTCCACCATACGAATGGATACGATAATTGTTTGTTGTAAAACAGATATTTATAGTGTCGAATAGACTATAACTAGCAGTCATAACTGAAAAGATTGCATCTAAGAGTCGCGCAAGGCTGGTACTTGAATCGATCAGCAAAAATTAAATAATTTTTTAATATATTTTATTCGTCTGGGATTCCATGACCAGTTTTGAACAGCAGAAGAAAACTTCTGCAATTTCACTAGATGATTAAATAGACTCTCTCAGACAGAGTTGAATTTTCTACTCAACTAGAGGTGTTAGCCGATTACTATATCGGCGGTGGCGGAGAAAACTTGAAAAAGATATTTCCGCCTTTGGCGGTAGCGCCGTGTAATTTTAAAATTTTCTTTTCACGGTGGCGGCGGCTAACACCTTTATGCTTAAGGACTTACTTTTTATTCTATCAAAGAATGTATATTCATTCAAAAACATATCCCGAGGTAAGATATTCATACAAATTGTTTTAGTCATCATTTTACATACCATACGAGCTCTGAATTATAACTAATGATACTCCTTGGGAGCATTCATTATAGTTGACTGTTTTCTTTCCTTTCATGAATAGAAATGGTAACAATTATGAATTACAGAGTTTTTATTTCTTTATTTGCAATTATTACCGTTGGATTAACAAGAGAAACATTAGGAATGGTCGTCGGAGAAGTCAATAGCCATAACGATAGTCCAACAATATATAATTCTGATCTAACATCTTTAGTTGATTCTGTCACCAAGGAACAATTGTTAGAACATCTAAATCAATTACAAATTATCGCTACGAACTCAGGTGGAACACGTGCGGTTGGTACAATCGGATTTGATAGAACCATCGATTATATTTACGACTATTTAACAACCCATACTAATCTAGAAGTAAAATATGAATATTTTACTCTTACAAACTACCGAATAGATGGTATACCAACATTTATTTCGAATATCAATGGTAAAAAAACTGCAAACACTTATCAGACTCATTTTACTGATATGATATATTCTGGTAGGGCAAACTGGATAACACCACGTCCCGTATCAAATATTCCAAATGATGGTTGTTCCGATGACGATTGGAAAAATGCTTATCCATCATTTGTTGCTGGTACTAATGTTGCCCTTGTAAAAAGAGGTGTATGTACATTCGAAGACAAATCTGTATTGGCCAAAAAATATGGCGCAGTTGGTTTACTTATATATAATGATGGTGTTGGCTCTGAGAGATTTGGACTAATGAATGGAAGTGTATCAGAAGAAACAGATTTTCCCGCATTATTTTTATCATATCAAGTTGGTTCAACGTTAGCTAAAGAAGCGCAAACTGGTTCATCTGTAAGTGTCTCAATTAACATGAATACCAGAAATTTACGTAATGCTGCTATTGCTAATATTATTGCTGATACACCAACAGGAGATAAAAGACAAACAATTGTTATTGGTAGCCATAGTGATGGAGTAAAAGCTGGTCCTGGCATTAATGATAATGGTAGTGGCACTGCTGCTAATTTAGTATTAGCCACTAATATTGCTCGTTTATTACAAACACCCAGTTATAAACAATATCCATATCGTATTCGATTCGGTTGGTGGGCTGCTGAAGAACTTGGATTAAAAGGCTCAATTTATCATGTTAATCAAGCCAAGAAAAGTGTAATAGTTGGTGAACGTATACAAGATTATCTTCTTAATCTTAATTTCGATATGTTAGGATCAAAAAATTTTATGTTTGGTGTTTATGATGGTAAAACAGCTAATCCACTTACGACACCATCAAAAGCTATACCAGGTAGTAAAAAACTAACTGAACTATTTACTCAATTTTTTACACAACAAAATTTTCCATCGGATGGTACAAAATTTGATGGTCGTAGTGACTATGGACCATTTTTAGCTGCCGGTCTTGTTGCTGGTGGTTTATTTAGCGGTGCTGAAGCCAGAAAAACAAGAGAACAGTTTGATCGTTATAATCGTTTGTTAGGTCAAGGAATGGGTGGTACTTCTAATGCTGCGTATGATGCATGTTATCATAAAAAATGTGATACAATCCAAAATATAAATTCATTTGGATACGAAAAACTGGTTAAAGCCGCTGCTTATGTTACAGAACAATTGGCACAATTGGACAATTTAAAAATATGGTTATATCCATCAGGACAAATTCAATTTTTAGAAAGGACATCACCATATAAGCCACCAATATCTGACTATTCTATCTTAAGTGAATTTTACAAGAAAACAGATTTGTAATTCCATCTACGCAAATAAACTTAATATCATCCTTTGTTTATTCGACATTATATACTTTTATAAGTTAAATAAGTTTAAAAGTAGTGCTTTTACTTTAGTGATGTTGTAACAACTTAGAAAAAGTTGAAGTATTTTCGCAAAGAAAAATCTTCTATTTAATTATGTTTGCATCAATTATCAGCTTTGTAAAATAAATAAAGAACAGTTAAAAGGCAATTAGAACAATAGAGTAAAAATGCAGTTTATTGTGAAAGATATTGTCATATCTTGCGAAAGACACATTAGTTTGTGTCGAAAATGTCAAGATATTCTAAGAACAATTAGGTCTATCTATAGGCAAAATTTTAGGTCAAAATTCTTTAATCGACTTTTTCGAAAATATCTGGCTATGGATCGAAAATTCAGTAAAACGGCCATAACTTTTGATCAATAGGCTGTGGACTCGGACTCTTTTACGCTTTTCTTAGTCTGACCGGGATCTACTCCTTTAGTGTTAATATGGAGCCGTAACTCGCGAGACAGTTGGAGCAATTTCCTTGCCAGTTAAAATTTTTCTTTCAAGTGTCAAGAATCGCGAGAAAATACAGCATCCCTTTATGGAAATGGTTCTATACTTCAAAAATGGCAAAACTAGGTTTCTATACTCGGTTTTGCATTGAGAATCAGATAAAAACTGAAACAAAAAATTTCAAAACAGCAAGGAACATAAAAATTTAAGTTATTTTTGAAAACTATAAAAATTTTGCTGTTATGAATTCCTGGCACTTTACCTAAAACTAAGTATAATGGTGTAAGTGAAGATAATAGTCATAGTCCTTAAAACATTTTTATCAATCATCGTCACCCTCATCAGTCATACTTCCAAGTATAAACTTGTCTTTTTGAGCATCTTATGGACGTCTGGATTAGGCGAATCAACTTTACTACATTTGTCTGAAATATATCGATACCTATTGATTATTTTAGTCAACCTGAAGTCTTTGGACACAAGGCACGGCTAGCTAACTCTGCTATCGCAAGGAAATTCTGTGGCATTTTTTCTTCATTTACTTTCGTCGATATACACCTAGACCGAACCACGGAGAAAGTCGCGAGATGTCTTAAATTGAAGAGAAAAGTTTTTTAAACATTTTAAGACGTATCTGCAGTCTAGAAAATGCCTCTTTCTGAAAATCTTAATAAACCATTGAGTACTAGGTTTCAAAAATTCAAATTCTTCAGAATCGAAAAGTAGTACTCAATGTGTTATTAAGACTTTCAGAAAGGGGTATTTTCTAGACTACAGATACGTTTTAGGGATACCCCTCCCCCCTCTTTTTTCACCTTGTTGCCAGAAGCGGAGCACACGTCCGATTGAGCTTCAATTAATAGCAGAGACAGAATATCGAAAAAGAAAATCGATTTATTTTTGCTCAGAATTTTCTGAAAAGTTCTTATATGGGTTTTCTCGAAAACTCCAGTTTTCAGCGGGTCACACTACGACCCCTCGAAAAAATGGTCCGATCCAGTTCAAATTTTTACC